AAGATGCCCCAGACCATCTGGTCTTGATCCTGACCCTTTTTGGAATGGAGCTGAGAGCGAGTCCATAGGGCCCACGAAACTGGCTGTCCCATGCAGCCAAAAAGGAGGATGCTGAGATCTGGGCAAGGCTGAGAAGAAAATTTGATATGGAGAGTTTGGGGTCTAATTCAGACCATGAAATGCCCCCTGCAAAAGAAGTAGTGGGGAATAAGGTTCAGTCAGACAAAGAGAATGCAATGGTCAACACAGAACTAGTAGGTCATAACCAGAAGGAAGAATAAAAGGTACAGGAAGAGGGGAGTACACAGTTAGAATCCGGCGAATATATCCCTCCCCCAAACTCACAATGCGGGACGTGTCGATCTAGGGGGTGCCCTGTACAGCTTTGTTATGGGTGCATGTGGTGTTCAACAATGCAAACGTAATGGGGGCAGGGTGTGGCGGAGGCAGGAACATGTTAAACCAAGGTCCACTGAGAAAACTCATGTCACCCTGCAAAAAAGGCCTATAAAAGAGGGAGATATACAGGAACATAAAGGTGAAGAACAGATCATACAGGCAAAAAAAGAAACTTGGGTACCCTACCATTTCCAAACAAAACTACAACAAAGGATGGCGATGTGGCGGACTCTGCAAAGAAGTAGAGCCGCCCAGCTCAATGAGTATCTTGAGCTACAACTGCCGGGGTTTGGGGAAATCCCGGGCAGTGAAGAAGCTGGAGCGTTTACTGTTCCAGCAAAACCCTAGTGTGGTCTTCCTAATGGAGACTAAGAAGAAGGATAAGGAGTGGAAGGAGGTTCTAACCCAACTCGGGTGGGAAAATGGACATGGGGTGGGCTCGACTAGCAGAGCAGGAGGCCTACTTGTCATGTGGAGGAATGATATTTCCATTGAAATTATGTCTGATTCCTTAAATCACATTGATATGAGGGTGACTGAAAAAGATTTAGTATGGAGACTGACAGGGGTGTATGGATGGCCTGAAGAGTCGAATAAGCATTTGACGTGGGAATTGCTACGAAACTTACATAGCCAAGTGTCGGTTCCTTGGCTGGTCTGTGGGGATTTTAACCAGATTCAGAGTTACGAAGAGAAGCACGGGTTGAATGAACCTAATACGCAGATTATGGAGAAATTTAATGAGGCAATAGAGGATTGTGATCTGGAAGACCTAGGCTACTATGGGAATACGTTCACGTGGGATAACAACCACACGGATGAAACCTTCCTCGAAGAATGTCTAGACAGGATGTTAGCAACAACAGATTGGATGAGATATTTCCCAAATGCTCGTGTCTATAATCTAAGGAGGTGTGGGTCTGACCATTCTCCTATTATTCTTAAGAGACATTTATTGGAGGACAAGGTGAATTGGGGAAGGAGTTTTCGGTTTGAGAGCTACTGGACTAGAGAGCCTGAATGTGAGGTGGTAGTATCAGGAAGCTGGCGAGGGAACCCGGAAGAAATGGTACTTGCAAAGATAGCTAAATGCGAAGATAATCTAAAAGAGTGGAGTAAAATAAATTTTGGCAGCCTTGCAACCAGAAGGAAAAAGGCAGAGAAAGCTTTGGCCATTTTGGAAAAGAGAAAGGAAAATGGGGCAGTGATTGCACAAAGGCGAGCTCTCGAAAAGGAACTCAATGAAATCATGGACTTGGAGGAAATAGCTTGGAAACAAAGATCTCGCACAGATTGGTTGCAAGAAGGGGATAGAAATACCCCTTTCTTCCACAGAAAGGCCTCGGATAGATGAAACCGCAACACAATCTACTGTCTTCTAGATGAAGATAGGGTGGAGCGGAAGGGACAGAAGGAAGTTACCTTATGCATCAGAGATTACTATCAAATGCTCTTCAAAGCAACTCCCCCAGCCCAGACTTCCCATGTACTTTATGCAATTTCCTGCAAAATAACGGACAGAATGAATGAGGAGTTGCTACAACCTATTACAAGGGAGGAGATTTGGAATGCTTTGCGGTATATGGGGCCCACTAAGGCACCAGGGACTGATGGTATGCCGGCCATGTTTTTTCAGAAGCATTGGCATGTTATAGGAGAGGATATTACCAAAGAACTACAAGGGTACTTGGAAAAGGGACTTTTCCCTCAGATTCTGAATCATACGCTTCTCGCTCTTATTCCTAAGACTAAGAAGTCGAAAACTCCAGCTAAATTTCGACCCATCAGTCTTTGCAAAGTTCTCTACAATATTTTCTCTAAAGTGCTAGCGAACAGGCTTAAACAAGTATTGAAAGTGGCAGTAGTGGAAAACCAAAGTGCCTTTGTCCCTGGGAGGTACATACGAGACAATGTCATTCTTGCATTTGAATGTTTCCATGCAATATATGAAGATCAGAACGAAGGGTAAAAAGGGTTACATGGCAGCTAAACTGGATATAGCGAAGGCTTATGACAGAGTTAGTTGGGAATTTGTGGAAGCTATTATGAGGAAACTTGGATTTGCTGAAAGATGGGTGAGAATGATTATGTACTGTGTTTCAACAGTATCATATGCTACTTTAGTGAAGCTGGTGGATTTCCACGAGAAGTATTTAGGCCTGCCCACTGTGGTAGGCAGGAAGAAGAGATCAGTTTTCAGCTATTTGGTTGATAGAATTAGAAAGAAGGTGAAGCTCTGGAAGAGCAAGCTTCTGTTGAGTGCTGCTAAAGAAGTTTTGATAAAATCTGTTGCCCAAGCACAGGCCACATATGTGATGTCCCTATTCCTGTTACCAGAGGGTATCATTGACGAAATTTAGAAAATTATAGCCAATTTCTAGTGGGGGCAAAGCCAACAAGAAAGAAGAACGCATTGGAAAAGCTGGAAAGACCTATGTCGACCTAAAGTGGAAGGAGGTATGGGATTTTGTGATCTAAAAGGCTTCAACCGAGCCCTTCTAGGTAAGCAAATACGGAATCTCACTCAGATGCCTAATTCCCTAGCAAGCAGGGTTCTCAAGGCAAAGTATTTCCCGAATAAGGACATTATGGAGGCTGGACTGAGACATTATCCTAGCTATATATGGCGGAGCATTATATCTGCAAGAGATTTAGTGGCTCAAGGAATTCGTTGGAGGGTGGGTAATGGATCTCAAATAAAGATTTTGGAAGATCGATGGCTACTAGAGGCTAAAAATTACAAAATTGCTACAAGTCACCAGGAGGTGAACAACCCTGTTTTGGTTCAGGAACTGATTGATTTTGAAACTAGAATATGGAGACCTGAGCAACTTCAAACCCATTTCCATCCTAATGATCGAGTTCAGATACAGATGATCCCCATTCCGCGATAACCCTGCCCAGATAGGAGAGTGTGGGGACCGGAGAAGATAGGTCTGTACACGGTGAAGTCAGTTTATGTGAAATGGAAAGAAATCCAGGATTCGGAAGTGGGAGAGCTATATGTTCCAGTCAATTGGAAACAGATTTGGCAACTAAACCTACCTCCCAAGGTTAGGGTTTTTGCGTGGAGATGGATTCATAATATCCTTCCTACTGGGGGGAACCTAGTCGATCGAACAAAAAGAGGCTGTGAGGAGTGCCCGTTCTGTGGCCTAAAAGAGACCCAATACCATACATTCCTAGATTGTGGATGGACTAGGCGAATTTGACAATCATCCGAGCTCAGGGGTCTGTTCAGTAAAGGAGAGGACAGTACCTGTGAGGAATGGTGATGCGAGGTCCAAGCAAGTGAGAAGACGGAGGCTATCGAAGCTTTGCTTGTGGTCCTTTGGTGTATTTGGCACGAACGTAATAACCACCTTTGGAACAATAAGAAAAGGGAGGAGGAAGACATTATCCCATTTGCACTAGGGTGTTTAAGCACTTACCTGGCGAACCAAAGATCCTTCCACTGGAATCCACCTGACCCAGGTCGACTAAAAGCGAATGTGGATGCTGCAATTTTTGAGTCGGGAGGGACAGGGTGGGGAGTCGTCGTTCGCGACCACAACGGCGGATTCCGTTTGGCATTGGTGAAGAGAACGAGAAGAAAGTGGGCACCAGAAATCGCTGAAGCGATGGGGATCATGTTCGTTTTGGATCTGGCGAAGAGGTACGAATTCTCAGCCCTGGATGTGGAGACGGATTGCATGCTCTTGGTTCAGAAGCTGATGCGGGAAATGCGCTCGGCATTGGAGGTGGAAGAGGTGTGTGAAGAAATCAGGAATGAAGCGGATCGGATTGGAGCCACAAGATTTATGTTTGCAGACCGGGATTGCAATGGGCCGGCCCATATGCTAGCCCATACCTTCTGCCCTTGGGACAGTGAGGAGATTTGGGTCTCCAACCCACCTCTTTTTTTGATCCATCACTTATGTAAAGACCATCCTTTGGGTTCCCCCACTTAAGTGAATGCAAGCAGATTAATTTTTTTTTAAAAAAAAAAACACATGCGCTTTGCGACAATCCAACAACGTCAAACACTTGTGAGCACGTGCTCTCAAGGTGTTGTGAGCACCCTGATCGAGTTGCTACTTCCCGTGCGAAGCATGGTGATCCACATTGCCTAACCCAATCCAACAAACTAACAACACAACAATAGATCTAGGGGAAGATTTTCTATAGGAAGGTCTAGGGGAGCTCTTCTAGAGGAAGTTCGATGTCTATCTATGTCTTTTGTTTTTTCTTCTTCTTCTTATACTTCTATTCTGCTTCGGGTTAATAACGCTGCCTATTTAGTGGCACAAAACGTTCTTTCATTGATAGTCCAACTACTTGTCGACTGCCGCACCTGATTGAACATTATGACATGTAAGCTATCTATGTTACCAGAAAGAAAATACAAACCAACATTAGATTACATGTTTCCACCAACAAAGCAAGAATATAGAGTACATGCAACTTTACTTTGTCTCCACCGCTACCTACGCCCCCAGCAAGAAACTAAAATCTCTGAACAACTTCCAACCGTGCGCTAACTACCGATTCCACTCCCTCACTCAACAGTATAAACAATTACCAAAACAGAGAAACCCCAACCCAAATTCCCAAAACGATATTCATCGCAAAGGTTTGACTGAGTCACCAAGTAAGCAACACAACGAGCAAAGAAAATTCAGCAAGAAACTGAACCTCAATAACCGCAACAACGACACCAGCGGCCGCCACATTTCCTCCGGCGGAGCCGGCCGCCGGCGATCAGAATCCAGAAGGCTATAAAACACCACATCTCGATCCTCCCCGCGGTGGAACAAGTACTTCCTCATCACCCCATCTTTCCTAAACCCATTCTTCTCCAGCACCTTCCTGGCCCTTATGTTCCCGACATCCGTCGCCGCCTGCAGCCTCACCATCTCCGGGAAAATCCTGAACGATTCCTCCGCCACCATCTCCACCACTCTCGTCCCCACCCCTCTCGACCAATATTCCGGCGACACCACCAATCCCAACTCCCTGCGCCGGGCCTCGTCTGGGCGGGTCCCCGGCGTGACGATCACCAGCCCGATTGACCTGTCTTCAATGCACACGGACCTGCAATAGGGGTGGGGAATGCAGTAGGTCTCTATGTAGGCGGCGACTTCTTCCTCTGAATTGAATTGCCTCCAGGGCGTGTATCGGGTCGTTTCCGGGTTTTTCGAGTAGCTCCAGATGTCGGCGGCGTCTGTTCGCCGGAAGGGTCGGAGGGTTATCCTTGATCGGATGTCATCGCCGCCAATATTGGTGTTTGCCATTTTGCTGTTTGTTTTGGGTACTCTGTTTTTGGGGTGCTCTGTTTTTTCGAAATGTGTAGTCTTTGTCTTTCTTGTGGGTTCTATTTAAATGCTCTGTTTTGGTGCTGTCCATATGCATGATTGGTGCCGGCGCCTTTGGTTAATTGAGTTGGATGCCACTCTTGTTTTTTGTTTAGTTTGTTATCGGCCATTAGACTTACTATTGTGACAATTTAGACCCTCATTGTTTCGAGATGCGGCGGGATCCAAACGAAGTACTCGATTCACCAGTCATTCGATGAATATGGACTTATGTGTTTCCTGTCATTCGATGAGAATGAACTTACATCTACGAGCGAGAGATGAATTTTCCCCGTATAGACTTACGTACATGTATACATACTAGTACCGCATACTGACTTCATATAAGGGTTTTACAAAAGTTACACACATAAGTTGCCGATTTGATGATGTTGGCCTAGTCATGCAAACTCGCCTCGTCGTTGGATTGAGAATCATACTTAACAAAATCTTATATTTCGTACTTAGCTTGTTGCTATTGATTTTCTAAATTTTAGTTGATTTGTCATCTTGAGGTTTGGAAGTTGAGGGCTTTTTTCTTGTTGTAGAAAGTTGATGAAATTTTTAAAATGGTAGCGAGTATGTTGTATAATCTTTGTTTGTCAGATACCTATGGGACCGAGGTTTGCCGTTGTAAGACAGATTTCCTCTCGTAAAAAAATAAATAATAAATTGATTGAAATTGTGATTAAACAAACCAAAAAATTGAAATGAATATTTGGTTTGATGTTTGTTTTTGCTTGCTTGTTGTGTGTTTTCCCCTTGTTGTTTCTTTCGTTTCGTCCGAGTTTGAGTCTTTCTGTTTGGGCTCGAAAACTCTGTTTGGACTCGAAAACTCTGTTCGGCTTTTGTCCTCGGCGCGTCTACCGTCTTGACGAAGGAGCTGTTTTTTCTGTTTGTTTTATTTTGTTACAGTTTCAGACCTTTGTTCCTTGATTTGTAATGAATTGACCATTAAAAAAAAAACACTAAATTGCCACAAACTGAAACTTTTGTGACCAATATGTAAAACCTAGCTGCTTAAAATGCAATTTCCCACGGGAGAGAGCATCCCCATTTAATAAGTTTCGTATCCGTGGGGGACACGGATTGCGACAAGTAATGTAAACTAACGCGATTCAGGGCCATGAGATAGGGCTGCAATAATGCAAAACCAGGACCATTTTTTTGCAGGTGGGGGAAGGAAAGGATTGAGATCTCTGAACCGAAACTAGACGAACAATTGGCATCCGAATTCCAAGTCATTCAAGAGGAAAAAATCAAAAAACACCCATGTCGCTCCAAAGAAACACCCAACTGTGGAAATCTAGACTTTCACTCCAATTATAAGGCGGCCCGCCAGCCAGATTCCGATTCGCCGACGGGTAACAATCAACGGACCCGTACGAGGGGATAATCGGAATTCCAAGCAGCAACAAGTTGAAGAATCATTCGAGAAGATGGCGACTATCCGTGGACATCAAATCTGTAAACGACAAGATCCCCTGTTCACACAATAGCCATATTTCCCGAGCTAGCAGCCCTTCTCTCAAGAACCCTACTTTTTACAGCACCCTTTGAGAAGCTCTGTGCTCGATTTCCACCAGGGCTTGCAGACTGACGACTCCTGGGAGATCATTGAAGACGGCGGACACGGCGATTTTGAGGGCGACCACTGCTCTGCCGCCAGAATGTACCCGGTTTCTCTGTCGCCGCCGGCGTATTTCAGGAAGTCGTCAACGTTGGTGATCTTGAATGGGAGGAGGGTGATTGATTCTTGATGGGTCAATGATTGGATGGTTAAAAAAAGGTTGCTTGGGAAAGAAGCAGATCAGAAGTTAGGCGGGCAGTTGTTGCGTTTCAGTGGCAGAGCAGAGCTCTGTCTCGGTCAACTTTCGATTTTTATAGACTGAATATGTGGAGAATTTGTGGACTTGTTCTTTGTTATTTCCTTCTTAAGAATGGATTTCTTTTTGCTACTGTTCCTAGAAATTTCGAGGGTGTTTCTATGGAGTTCCTGTTTAGTTAAATGAAAGAAGCTTGTGGGGAATTGGTTGGTATTAGTGGAGGAAGATGGCTTGATTAAGTCATTGATATCAATGTTGGGGTGGGATGGTACTTCAATATTCATACTCATTTCGAATTAAATACTGATAAGGTTAGGTAACATTCGCACGGGTCGAGATCATAGTAGGTCGAATCATTATTATATATTATTTGAAGACGATATTTTATTTTTATTGATGAAACATAGAGAAAATATGCTATAAATGAATTAGAGATAATAGTTAAATTAATAATGTCAGTTCATTTTTATTTGATATACACATTAATTAATCTTCGATTAAACTTCACTTCCTCTGGACAATCAGTTGAAAGTTGAAGTTTTGCACTTATTTAAAGTATCATTGGGTGAAAATATGAGTTAAGATAAATCAAAATGGGACAAATAGAAACATAATATTGAGAGAAATCGAGGTACAATGAGCCAAGGACGAAGGACGTTGTGAACCAGAGCTAAATTAGTACACATTGCCTCGCCCCAACTGGTTCAAATTGCCGTAAGTAAATTGGTCAGTGACACTGAAATAGTAATGAAGTTTAATTACAACTTACACAAAGTCTATGCAATCCTATTATTATTGTGTCTATTAAAAAGATAATCAAAGTCGTCTTGTTTAGTAAGAAATATGAGGTCTCCACCTAAAAAATCAACAAATTTGTCATTTTTGTTTATGGTGGTATTGTAGTAGAGGTTGGTTAGTTTTTTTTAATTGACGTCTTAGCATCTAATTGGTATTAAGGATCGAACGATCATGATCAATACCCATAATGTCATGTAACAACCATTGTTCAAGACCAGGGGCGCACACATTGAAGTGGTGTGTGTCAAAATTAACAAAGCGACCCCTGTTAGCTAAAAACTCAGCTGCAAAATTAGCTTCTCTAAGCACATGTCCTATTCTAACCTCCTAATCAAGATTAAGAAGGACGTATAATTGTATTGCAAGTATCATGTGACGATGATCATCATCAAAAGAGTTTCTAGCGATGTCAATTGCGGCCGTGGATGCAAGGCTTACACTGTAGAATTGGACATCATCATCAAGAATCAAGATTTATATTGCAGAATTGATGCTTGGCTTAACATCATCGAGCAAGCCCAGCACAGAGACACAAATGACTGCTATGAACCAACAAATCAATACTAGATTGATTGCATTTCTTGGAAACCACTTGATGTTGGATGGATTCAAGTTCACACGAATATATCAATTATTTCTTCCTCAAGAAGAGCTGTTGCAGGTGGTCTTCTTCGAGACCATTTGGGAGGATGCCCTAATGTCTTCATCTGCAACCTTGACTCGTGTTCTATCACGAGCGCTGAACTTAAAGGTGCGATTGAGAGATTGAAGATTGCTTGGCAGAGAGGGAATAAGAAAGTTCAACTCAATAGAGATTGGTTAATTAGTTAAAAATTGATCCTTGGCGAATAAGGATTTGAGTGTTTACGATATGTATGTGATAGACCGTTATTTACACATGTTTTTACCCCTGTTCTTACACCGTTTGAGGTGTTGATTCTCGTGTTTTAGGCCGATTTCACGCTAGGTTGTGCTTGTTTATGATATTTCAGGTCCTAGTACGTGAATGGAGGCTTGGGAGCGAGTTTGGGGTCGATTGGATGAGGATCGGACGCATGGCGAGGTTCTAAGGAAGCTGCACGGGCACACATAAAGACCACACGGCCGTGCAACTGACAAACCAGGCCGTGTGGGATTGTGCGAGAGCAAACACGGGCACAAGTAACTTTCACGGGTAATTAGCATAAATGGTAACAAACCTTTGCACTTAGTACAAAACGGTCACAAATCTTTAATTTGTAACAATATGGTAACAAAACTTTGAAATTGTATAAAATGGTCACCGCTATTTAATTTGTGACCGTTTTGTTTTAAATGAAAAGGTTTGTTACCGAATCGTTACAAATTAAATGTTTGTCATGTTTTGAGGTTGGGTAGTTTGTTCGTTAAGTATATGACACTAACCACTTGAACAACATATAAGATGTCAGCTCATGTGTTCATCGACATATTTGCTTTGCCAAATAAGAATGCCCTCAGTTGACCTTTCAATTTCGATACCAATCTATCAAAAACAAATTTCGATACCAAGAAAGTAGACATAGTTTTTTCAACTAAAAAGCAGTCTGGAACCCGTTTGTGAGCCATTGAATTCTCTCATTGTCATCCTTTATGACGATCATATCATTCACATACATTAACAAAACCACCATACAACTAGAGCGAATTGTAACGGTGATTGAGCGTTCAAACTTTTGAACTTAATTTGTACAAAACGGTCACCAAAAATCTAATTTGCAACGACACGGTAACAAAAGTTTGAACTGGTATGAAATGGTCACACTGTTTAATTTGTGACCGTTTTGTTCTAAGTAAAAAGTTTTGTTATCAAATGATTACAAATTAAAGGTTTGTGACTGTTTTGTACTAAGTGCAAAGTTTTGTGACCATTTATGCTAATTACCCTAACTTTCACACGGCCGTGCAAGAGAGCAAGGTGGCCGTGTGATTTTTGCCGAGGCCAAACACGGGCATCCCAGGAAATCCACACGGCCGTGCGACCCTGGCCGTGTGGGATGGCTGAAGATCGACCTAAGTGATACGGCGCGTTTTGACTCACACGGGCAAAGTGGTGAGCCACACGGCCGTGTGAGTCGGGAAATTCTGGTTTTTTAGGCAGATTTTCAGCCAAAAGAGGGGGGATTCGAGTTTTAGAGAGACAGAACGATTCCTAGAGAGAGAAAGCGACGAACAAGAGTCTCCAAGTGCCCTAGCTTGATCTTCATCACCATTGGAGCTTGGCTTGAGCTTGGAAGAGTGTCGATCAACGTCCAGGAGCTGAAATCCATCCTTCACAGTATGGTTTCCGCATCTGATTCTGCTTTTGCTTCTTTCTCCATGGAGTAGTTCTCCCATTCATCTGGGTGTGGGAAACCCTAGATCTGTATGTTAGGATTGATTGTATGAACCCAAGTATTGTTTCTATGATTTGATTATATTCGATTTAGGTTTGAATGATTGAATGGCATGAATCCTGATCAAATTCCTGTTGTTTCTGCTTTAACCTAGAATGAGAATATCTGCCTAGGTTGATAGAGCATCCTTAATTGAAGGTAGCGAATTGGTGACTTTAGTCGAGGAGCCAATTCGCTATTCTGTACCGAATTCCATTCGGTAGTGGAGGTTTGATTCGTTAGGGCCTCAATCTGTTTACTCCGGTGGAGGTTAGTCGCCCGCTAGAGACTCAGATTGAGAGGGTCTGAAGACCTTTAGTCGTTACTTTAGACTGTTTGAGAACCTTCCGCAGTATAACTATCATAGAAACTGAACTTGGTAATTGCAATCCGGCTTAACTGCAGACTAGGGGGAACCATATCCGGGTCTCTTAACCTGAAAACAACCGTTAAACTTGCTTTGTGTTTTTGTTTTTTTGAATCTGCACTAAAAGTTCACTGCTAGATAACGAGATTTCACCGAGTAGTCATCACATCTAGGACCCGGGTTGACATTAAAACCCAAACCCGCTATACTACGCTTTAGGAAGTGGTTACACTTGGTCATTTTCTAGAGTGACAGTAGGAGTGAGTCAAGTTTTTGGCGCCGTTGCCGGGGACGGCTAGGTTGTTGAAGAAAAGTGATTTCTGTTACTTTAGCATTTTCATTTTCGCATTGAGTGTTTCTTCTTTCCCACTTGTGCCTTCACGGGTTTGCATTGCTTGATTGTGTGCAGATAGTGCATGACCCGTAGCCAGTCGGGAGGTTTACTGCCGTTGGATCCAGAGATTGAACGCACCAGCCGCCAACTTAGGAGACAACAACGAGCTAGACTGGCTACGGAAGAGCGCAGAGACGGCCAATTGAGCAGCGAGTCCGAGGACGAGTACGAGATGGAAGGCGATCATAACCCACCTCCGGAGAACCAGTTCCTGGGGAACGACCCCAATCCCCAGGCAGCTGGGGTCCATCATCATCCACCACCACCGGGTCCCACCTTGGAGTATTACTACACTCCGCGGATTGCTGACATCCGCCCGGTCATCCTCTATCCGCCAATTCCAGCAAACAACTTCGAGATCAAGCCATCCTGGATTCAACTCATTACATCCTCTATCCAGTTCCATGGCTTGAAGGATGAGGAGGCCCGGGCACATCTTTCCCGTTTTCTGCAGCTGACAAACGGGTTCAAGCTGAACGGTGTTCCGGATGACGCAATCCGCCTTCACCTCTCCCCCCATTCTCTGGCGGGGAATGCTAAGAGGTGGTTGGAGACCCAGCCCCCATTGTCCATCACTTCTTGGGACGATCTGGCAGATAAGTTCGTGCACAGGTACTATCCGGCATCGAAGACCACAGAGATTCAGCGGGAGATCACTCACTTCCGCCAAGCGCCAGATGAGTCACTTCGTGATGCATGGGAGCGGTACATGGGATATTTCTGGCAGTGTCCCCATCATGGCTTCAGTGATGCTTTCACAGTGGGGAACTTCTACAGTGCCCTCACCCCAGACAGCCAGAGGGTGATCGAGTCTCTATGCCCAGGAGGGGATATTCTCACTAAGACTCCACCAGAGCTGAACAAGATGATCAGTACCTTGGCTGCCCGCGATCATTCCTGGGGGCAGAGCAGCAGAGGCAGACATTCCCGGGACCGTGGTGTGCACGCTGTGGAGGCCAGGTCCGGGTTAGAGCAGCAGGTGGCTGAGTTGGTGCAGACATTGAAGCAACCCAACAGCCTCCTTCCGGGCCGAGGTGTAGCTACGCCTCCAGTAGCTCAGTGCCAGTGGTGTGAGAGCCCGAACCACCTGGTGGAGGATTGTCAGTCTATGAGGGAGTCCTCTACTCCCCAAGAGCAGGTGGACTTCATTGCCAATGCTCGGCGCATGGACCCATACAGCAATACCTACAATGAGGGATGGCGCCAGCATCCTAACTTTGCCTGGAGCAGCAACACCAACAAACCACCTGGTTTCCCGGCACTAGCAGGTGGTTTTCAGCAGAGGCAGCCCTTCCAGGTTAGGCAGGGGCCACCACCACAGCAGCAGCCCTACCAGCCTAGGCAGGGGCAGCCATTCCAGCAGCCCCAGCACCAGTATGCCTAGCCTCTAGCAGCCACAGCTCCAGATACTCAGATGGCTGATCTGAAGAATATTTTGCAGGCATTCATGACCACCAGTCAGGCGAATTTCACGAGGATGGATCAGAACATAGCCTCACTGGAGGCAGGCCAGAGAAACCAAGGTGCCATTCTGCAGGATCTCCAGCATCAGATTGGGAGCTTAGCTCGCCAGAACACTACCAGGGCACCGAGGACTCTGTCTGCCACCATTGTTCCCAATCCTCGTGACCCTCAAGAGCAGCTGGACGCCATCACCACCAGGAGTGGCAAGACCATATCTGCTGCTCCTGCCCTGCCCAGGCGAGACGAACCACTACCTGCTTCAACACCTCCAACTGATACTGCAGAAGTGGGGGAAGGCAGCGAAGCACCTGCTCCCAAGCCACAGCCTGTGGTTAAGGAGCATACACCCCAGCTGCCCTTCCCCACTCGACTTCATAAAGACAAGCTGGAGACAGAGTTTGCCAAGTTCATGGCAATGTTGAAGCAGGTCAACATCAGCATGCCGTTCGTGGAGGCACTGTCGAAGATGCCCAAGTATGCCAAGTTCATGAAAGACCTCCTCACCAACAAGAAGAAACTTGGGGATCTTTCGACAGTGATGCTCAGCGAGGAGTGTTCTGCTATCCTGCAGAACAAGCTGCCCGAGAAGCGCAAAGACCCAGGGAGTTTCACTATCCCTCTTGTTATTGGCAGCATGCATGTAGGAAAGTCCTTGGCGGACCTAGGCGCTAGCATAAATGTAATGCCCTATAAATTGTTTAAGAAGCTAGACCTAGGTGAACCTAGAGCTACTAGGATGAGCATTCAGTTAGCTGATCGTTCTATCGTGCATCCTAGGGGTATCATTGAGGACTTGCTTGTTAATGTAGGTGCATTCACATATCATGTTGATTTTGTTATATTGGATATAAATGAGGATGTGGATGTGCCTTTGATTTTGGGTAGACCATTTCTCGCCACCGCCAAGGCGCTTATTGATGTGCATAGTGGTAAATTGATCTTGCGTGCTGGTGATGAACATGCTACTTTTTCTGTGTCTGACAATGGGAAACATTCTCATTTGCATGATGACATAGATTACTGTGATGTGCTATACCCTTAACTTCCATATGGATCACCTCAACAATCAACCAGATAAGAAAATGTAGTTCTCACTCTGCGCTGGCGCCCATTATTGCGAAATCCATAGTTTCTTGCTCCCCAAGTTGCCATCGTAAAAGGTCAAGCAAGGCGGCTAAACTATGCTGCACATTATTGTAATGGAATAAAGCCAAAGATCATGGAAGTCCGTCATTGACAGGGCCGCCACAGGCCCACAGCCATTCTGTCCATCTTTCCTGGCAATTCCTCTCGGACTCCAATTACCTTCATCAGTTCATCTCATCTCCCACAGCAATCCTATTTATTCACACCCCAAATTGACCAGACAGAGCAAACAAATTAGAAACAGAGGAAAATGGACCCAGAACTGAAAATCGAAAACCTTCCCCAAATCACCCTCCGGCCGTTGGGCGTCGCCGACGTCGACGATTTCATGGTGTGGGCGACGGATGCGGGAGTGGCCCGATTCTGCACGTGGGAGCCGTACACCAACAGAGAAGATGGTCTGAATTACATTCAGAACACGGTCGTTCCCCACCCGTGGTTCAAAGCAATCTGCCTCAACGGCAGGCCGATCGGCGCCATTTCCGTGACGGAGAATTCAGGGGGCGACGCCTGCCGCGGGGAGCTGGGCTACGTGCTGGCCTCGGAGTACTGGGGGAAAGGGATCACGACCACGGCGGTGAAGATGGCGGTGAAGGCGGTGTTTGAGGAGCGTGGGGAGAAGTTGGAGCGGGTGGAGGCGTTGGTGGATGTGGAGAATGTTGGGTCGCAGAGGGTTTTGGAGAAAGCTGGGTTTTGCAGGGAAGGTGTTTTGAGGAAATACGTGGTTTTGAAAGGAAGGACTCGTGATATGGTGATGTTTAGCCTTTTGTCTACCGATGTTGGGATCTTGTAGGGAAGGCAGTGAGCTGAGTCCGTTGGGATTGTTTGTTTGTTGTTTTAGGGTTCCTCTGTTTTCCCCCTGTAATGCGAAGGGAACAATCTTGTGAGGGTGTCAAGTCAATGTGTGGGCTTTCTACTCCTTAGTTTATTATTACTGGATAAGTCCACTCGATCTGCGCTTTCCGTCAAGTGAGTAATGTGAGAAAACCTGATTTGAATCGTTAAGACATTATTATTGCAATTCTCTTATCTTCAATGAGTACTATCATAACGACACGGTTCTCTTAGTTTGCGAGTGTCATCGGAACTAGCAAATGCAAATCACTGATTATTTTTAATTGAAAGTGGCAATGAAAGATTTCCCTATTGTCATTCTATTCGAGCTCGATAGAGAGAAATGAAGAATGACTTCATTATTGTGGTTCTCTTGTTCTTCAATGAGTCCTACTGTAGCGCATGGTTCTCCTACCTTACAGGTGTTATCAGATCTAGTAAATCACTAATTATTTTTAGTCGAAATTGAGAATGAAATTTTTTTCTATTCGAGCTCGATCGAGAGAAAATGAAGAATGATACAAAACCTAATACGAAGAAATAGGTCACTTTTTTTTTTTTTGTCATAAGCTCATGGAATTAGCAAAATCAACAAGATATTAGTGTTTACATCAAAGACCAAAGCCAAACATAGAAATCAAACCCACACAACATTGTAGGGCACAAAGAAAGGACCTTCTTAGCCATCAAATGGATTACCCTGCTGCTATCCTACCTACAAACCAAAACTCAGAACTAGGGTGGGCTCTTGCAAACTCCACCACCTCTTGAAGTATAGCACCACCTCGGCGATCCCACGTATCATGACCCGCGAATCTTCTCAACGACAACTTAGCATCCCCCTGAATCAGCACCTCTGCATGACTCACTTGGCTATACCAACGACACACATCCCGTGTCGCCAAAAGCTCAGCGAAGAAAGGATCTTGGATCCCCAGATATTGCTGTCCCGCCAGCCTTGCCACATTTTCGGTTGCATCAAACATCACAAATCCAACCACAACATACGAATCATGAGCAAAACCCCCCATCAACCGCACAGACCACGGGTCGTCCTTCACCCAACTCCTCAGCACGATGCACAGCACGAGCACCAACCTGAGTTGGAGTTACAGCCACCCTTGTAGGTACAGCTAACCACTCCTCAACCTGCACAGTATAGTGAGACGAAAATGGGCTATTGAAACTTGCTTGTCCTCATGCACCACCCAATTTTTAGACTTTCAAATCCTCCAAAACAAAGAGATCACTCGCATAACACGTTCCGGTGAGGAATCCCATTCCGTACATCGCCTGAAATGTATTCTAAACATCCGACACTCCAATCCCAAAGTAGCCAGCTGAAGACCCGAGTGATCCCACAAAGCCAGGACGACCGGACATTCCAAAAACAAATGGTCAAATGTTTTCGATTATGCCAGCAGGCTGAACATCGAGCTAAGCATTGAACCCCTACCTTTGCAAGACCTCTATTAGCAGCAACATACGACGAAGAAGTTGTCACACAAAGAATTTTAGCTTAGGTGGTATTAAGAAATTCCATACCAGTCTCCAAAAAAGAGCATCCTGAATGGTCACTTTCTCTCGACATTTTGACACCGCTCTATGTGATTGCATCGCTAAGTGGTATCCTGACTTAACAGAATCAACTCCTGATGAATCCTCATTCCAAATTCTTTTATCCTGACTTAATAAATAGGCCAATTTTATAATAACAAAAACAAAAAGAAATGTAAGGGGTTGTTTGGTTTTGGTGATAGTTACAATGCATGTATTGTTCACGATACATTGTTTTTTTAATTTTCTGCACAAACAATTCATGCATTGTTTGCTTGATGTGACACATAAATCTCAAGTTTTTGGTGAGATTGTTTGTTTGAGATTTTTGGAGTTTTTTCTTCTTCCAACTATGTCTCTAGCTTTTGATATGTTTTGCTTTTTCATATTAAAAATAAAGGATAAAAGTGACATTTCATCCAAAAAGTAATATATCTTATTTTAATATTATAATAACTATCACATAAACCAAACGATGTAATCTACAATACATCAATTTTCTTATATGCATGTATATTATTATGCTTGCATTAATAATTATTCATCAATTTAACTATCACCAAAACCAAACGACCCTCAGAGAAAGAATTACCAAAAACATTTCCAATTAAATCAAAGGGAAAAATTGAATGGGTCCCATCCTACGGACTTTTGCCCTCTAAAGTTTGAGATTAATTACAAAAGACCCGCTTAATAAATAGTAAATGACAAACTTTTATTTTTGTATCACAAGACAATTTTCCTATTAATTGTCTGTGAGATTATTGTAACACCCTAACCCGATAGGGTGCTACTTTTACCAAAATACCCTTGAAAAGTAACGAATATTAAAATGCTTTGAACAACAGCGGAAACCTCGTACATTTAACAATACTTAAAACATGAACAACCTTGAGATATTTGTCTTAATAAATCTTCATCGTAAAATCACATCAAGTCTCTCGTCCCACTAAAGTAATGAAATTAACCTCTTCCTTCTGGAGTGCACTCGAGCCAATGATGCTGAATCCATATGCGTGCTTATGTACTTATACCATTCCTGAATGCGGGCGTTGGGGTCAGTCCTAATCCTATATTCCATTCTTGACATCATATATATAAAATGAACCAACATACATAATGAGTGCAAATGCTCATGCATAAATATTTACCGGACTTGTAAATGATTTTCTTGAAATAGACATTCTTTACGAAAAGGGGCCCCGAGCTCAACTTAACTAGCACGCCACCACGATCACCGACATACTTGAACATGATCTTATTACCCAGGAGTAGGGTTCGTGACCTCCTTATTACCCAGGAGTGGGGTTCGTAACCTCCTTTTTACCCAGGAGTAGGGTTCGTAACCTCCTTAATCATAACATGAGGTGACCGTGTGCGGCTAGCTAAGTGAGGGTTAAAACATGATCTTGCTTACTTACTGAACCTACTTGCTTGACATGATGATCATCCTCCGCTCAATGGGAGATCTAATCTTATGACTTGCTTAACTTATAAAATCGTACTTCTTTTAAAAGTAACTTGACTTGCTTAAAACATATGTATCCATGAAACATGATCATGGTATGCATACTTAAAACATAACTTGTATCGTCTTGTCTTAAAACATAACTTTGCGATGCAATGCCATGCCATGCTATGCTTAAGAAATAAACATAATTCATAAACTTGGAAATGGATCTCATGAACACATAGCTCAAGCATAAATAGCATTTAAAGACATATCAATTAATTCAAGCAACATGCAGTGTAAATAACTCAGAATGGAATACTAACTAATGCCCCCTCAAACCACGCACCTTATTAGCTTAAGTCGGATTTAGCCACCAACTCAAGAAATCGGTGCTCTTCATGGGTGAAATGCCTTGGCGAACCTATGACGAAAGTCGAGGTTAGATCGATTGTGTTTCGGGTTCTTAGTGACGGTTCTCTCGACTTGGAACTACTTCGCAATAATTGCAAAGTACGGTTAATTGACGTATTAAATAATTTGTCATATAAAACCTCCGCTCCCTAAATCTATGCCAATTAAAATACTTGGAACTAATCATGCTAAAATCACTTTTACCTAGCATATAATAACATATATTACCATACTAAATAAACTAGTAGATTTACCCATTAACTGCCAATGATAAATTTTACTTACTAATCATATAAAATATCATACTGGTTAAACTAATATTTTCTAACTAATACTTAAATCATCTTAATCCATTAAGTTGCTTACAAACCTCTTATCATATTATAGTCTTTATATTATTGGATAAAATACTTAATTAACTCAAACTAAACCATTTTATCAACTACTAACTTATTAACATCCTAATCCATGCATGTCTATTAACTCAATTGCACATTAATTCAAATAACTTTACATAATTCACCTAGAGACTTAATATGCAAAAGATACAGCTCCTTTAGTGACAGTCGCCGGAACAGTCACTAGAACTATGACATCTCGTCCCTAAAAGGAATGCCACTGACACTGGTTGGCCAGACTATAGCCACGGCGGCTTATTTTGTTGCTAAAAGCCTGTAATTTCCGTCGCTAATTTCCCAAAAAACTATAAACTCCTATTTAGTAGTCCAAATGCCGATTTAAACGCGATGGGTCGAGTTTCCTTACCTTGTATTCGTGCCTAGACATCGATACAAAGATGTATGGCCCTTGTTCCTTGTTTGGGTCGACATTCGATGACCCGCATCCTCCCCGTCAATGCTATGGTTCGAGAGACAGAGGAAGAGACTCTCGATGGAAACAATTGCTAGTGTCGTGGTAGCTATCCGATCGACGATGATGAGGAAACTTCATGTGGCAAGGAAAGGATGGACAAATTTAATGGCAATGAGGGATGAGTGCTGGCGTTCTTGGAGAAGCAGTAGTGATGGAGAGGAGCGATAGATCAGGGACAAGTGAAGACTACATATTTCATGGCCTTTAAAACTTGTGAATGGAAGGGCTGCCTGTTGTCTTGAAATGAATGGAGCATAGAAAATTATATCTTTAACATAAGTGATGATGGGGTTCTGCAAAGCTAACGTGATGTGAAGTAATGGTGTTGGTGGTTGATGACTATTAAGCTATTAGTTAAATGGGTCATGGGAGATATGTGGAAAAGTGGGGTGAGTGATTTGACAGGTGCATGTAACTTAGATCACCTCAATTATATGGTTGGAGAAGGGTAATTAGGGAAACACAATGTTAATCTGGATTGGGGTGTTACATTTCCTCCCTACTTATAAAAATTTCGTCCCCGAAATTTACTGATGACTGTAGCTTCTAACGTCTAGTCGTGTGAACTTGTTATCGGCCATATCCATGAGCAATCGCATTTCCTGAACTGGTTTAACATAACTTATCGCTTCCACCTAAATCAAAGTCCTCGTACTTATTCTTAAATTGTTCGTATCCTCTTAATTCGTATCTTGTCATTCCTTAACCACCTTGAACCAACCGTCATGGTTTACCACTCCAGAACTATTAGAGAACGAGACTTGATGTTTTCAAAACTAATCTTGAATTCAATTGGCTAGTTGAAATTGCCAAAACCTTTTAAAACTTTCCTTGAAAACATAGAGATCGATTTCCCAGTATCTCACTTAGATAGTGAAGACAGAGGGAGACCGGCTCTGATACCACTTGTAACACCCTAACCCGATAGGGTGCTACTTTTACCAAAATACCCTTGAAAAGTAACGAATATTAAAATGCTTTGAACAACAGCGGAAACCTCGTACATTTAACAATACTTAAAACATGAACAACCTTGAGATATTTGTCTTAATAAATCTTCATCGTAAAATCACATCAAGTCTCTCGTCCCACTAAAGTAATGAAATTAACCTCTTCCTTCTGGAGTGCACTCGAGCCAATGATGCTGAATCCATATGCGTGCTTATGTACTTATACCATTCCTGAATGCGGGCGTTGGGGTCAGTCCTAATCCTATATTCCATTCTTGACATCATATATATAAAATGAACCAACATACATAATGAGTGCAAATGCTCATGCATAAATATTTACCGGACTTGTAAATGATTTTCTTGAAATAGACATTCTTTACGAAAAGGGGCCCCGAGCTCAACTTAACTAGCACGCCACCACGATCACCGACATACTTGAACATGATCTTATTACCCAGGAGTAGGGTTCGTGACCTCCTTATTACCCAGGAGTGGGGTTCGTAACCTCCTTTTTACCCAGGAGTAGGGTTCGTAACCTCCTTAATCATAACATGAGGTGACCGTGTGCGGCTAGCTAAGTGAGGGTTAAAACATGATCTTGCTTACTTACTGAACCTACTTGCTTGACATGATGATCATCCTCCGCTCAATGGGAGATCTAATCTTATGACTTGCTTAACTTATAAAATCGTACTTCTTTTAAAAGTAACTTGACTTGCTTAAAACATATGTATCCATGAAACATGATCATGGTATGCATACTTAAAACATAACTTGTATCGTCTTGTCTTAAAACATAACTTTGCGATGCAATGCCATGCCATGCTATGCTTAAGAAATAAACATAATTCATAAACTTGGAAATGGATCTCATGAACACATAGCTCAAGCATAAATAGCATTTAAAGACATATCAATTAATTCAAGCAACATGCAGTGTAAATAACTCAGAATGGAATACTAACTAATGCCCCCTCAAACCACGCACCTTATTAGCTTAAGTCGGATTTAGCCACCAACTCAAGAAATCGGTGCTCTTCATGGGTGAAATGCCTTGGCGAACCTATGACGAAAGTCGAGGTTAGATCGATTGTGTTTCGGGTTCTTAGTGACGGTTCTCTCGACTTGGAACTACTTCGCAATAATTGCAAAGTACGGTTAATTGACGTATTAAATAATTTGTCATATAAAACCTCCGCTCCCTAAATCTATGCCAATTAAAATACTTGGAACTAATCATGCTAAAATCACTTTTACCTAGCATATAATAACATATATTACCATACTAAATAAACTAGTAGATTTACCCATTAACTGCCAATGATAAATTTTACTTACTAATCATATAAAATATCATACTGGTTAAACTAATATTTTCTAACTAATACTTAAATCATCTTAATCCATTAAGTTGCTTACAAACCTCTTATCATATTATAGTCTTTATATTATTGGATAAAATACTTAATTAACTCAAACTAAACCATTTTATCAACTACTAACTTATTAACATCCTAATCCATGCATGTCTATTAACTCAATTGCACATTAATTCAAATAACTTTACATAATTCACCTAGAGACTTAATATGCAAAAGATACAGCTCCTTTAGTGACAGTCGCCGGAACAGTCACTAGAACTATGACATCTCGTCCCTAAAAGGAATGCCACTGACACTGGTTGGCCAGACTATAGCCACGGCGGCTTATTTTGTTGCTAAAAGCCTGTAATTTCCGTCGCTAATTTCCCAAAAAACTATAAACTCCTATTTAGTAGTCCAAATGCCGATTTAAACGCGATGGGTCGAGTTTCCTTACCTTGTATTCGTGCCTAGACATCGATACAAAGATGTATGGCCCTTGTTCCTTGTTTGGGTCGACATTCGATGACCCGCATCCTCCCCGTCAATGCTATGGTTCGAGAGACAGAGGAAGAGACTCTCGATGGAAACAATTGCTAGTGTCGTGGTAGCTATCCGATCGACGATGATGAGGAAACTTCATGTGGCAAGGAAAGGATGGACAAATTTAATGGCAATGAGGGATGAGTGCTGGCGTTCTTGGAGAAGCAGTAGTGATGGAGAGGAGCGATAGATCAGGGACAAGTGAAGACTACATATTTCATGGCCTTTAAAACTTGTGAATGGAAGGGCTGCCTGTTGTCTTGAAATGAATGGAGCATAGAAAATTATATCTTTAACATAAGTGATGATGGGGTTCTGCAAAGCTAACGTGATGTGAAGTAATGGTGTTGGTGGTTGATGACTATTAAGCTATTAGTTAAATGGGTCATGGGAGATATGTGGAAAAGTGGGGTGAGTGATTTGACAGGTGCATGTAACTTAGATCACCTCAATTATATGGTTGGAGAAGGGTAATTAGGGAAACACAATGTTAATCTGGATTGGGGTGTTACAATTATTAACTAATTTTTTCTTGTATGAGAAGTAGTTTAACTGTTCTAGCATTAGAAGATTATTTTGACCTTATTAGAGAAAGAAAAAAAAAAATAGTTTTACATCTATATATATATATGTACTTCTGTGTTTTACACATGAAGAAGTATAAATTAGTTATTTCAATTCACTTCTTGTTGTTTCACTTTGGGTGCACTCGTATCTTCTACTTATTCATCGCCATGATATTAGTGACAAGTCTTTGTCCGTTTAGCGGCTCAAGATAGGGTGCTGGTTATGCACCCATAATAACCAAAATAACCAAATTTGGACCCTTCATTTAGAAAATACAGATCTAAGGATGGAGAATTAAAGACCATTTTTATTTTTCTTAGTTTTCTTAATCGGCTCATATCTTTTTCGTTTTAACTCGGATTTTAATTTTTTTCCACAGATGGAACGAGTTCATCGAGCTCTACAAAATGAGATCAATTTTCAATATTTTTTTAGAAAAAAAATTCTGACCTCTCGGTACCAACTGCATACCATATGGTATTTTCTTCGTTTTTAATTCATTTTTGAAAACGTTTGCACCGAAGGGACGAGTTCATCATGATCTATTAGATCTACAAATTTCTGGGTGAACAAATTACATGACCAAAAAATACCACACAATACCATACAATACCACCCTGGTACGGGGTGGTATCTTGTGGTACACAATGATAAAAGTCGTAAATGACAGTTAATATACTTCTACTATTATGCATTCAACCATCCTACAGTCTTAGTTTGTTCATACCACCATGGTACACTTTTCAAACCATAGGTATGCTCTTATTTCAATACCAGTCAATACCATATGGTATAGACTGGTAAAAAATGTCTCAATTTTTGTTGTTCGAAAAATATATCAAAGTGAATATCATTTTGAAGAGCACAATTAATCTGATCTAACTGTGCAAAAAAAATTAAATTTCGACTTAAAACGAGTGAGAAATCGTCCGTCAAAGATTAAGGAGGGGAAATTAAAGGCTTTCCGGGAGAGAGATGCTGATATCATGCTGATGTGGATTGGTTACTCATGGTTACTCACCATAAGGTTACTGACCTGATCCGTTCCCCGTTTAGCTTTAGGTATTCTATTCCTTTTCATACTTGTACATTGCATTTGCAATCGTTTGGGGATAAATATAACCTCGTCGGTTGATAACCTCACACATAAAACCTCAATAGAAATCACCAAACAGCCAAAACAAAATTAAGAAGAAAAAAAAAAGATCCAGAAGTTGGAAACGGCACCATCACCCTCCGGCGACTGAAAGTCTCCGACGTGGACGATTTCATGGTATGGGACGGAGACGAGAGAGTGGCGAAATTCTGCGATGGGGAGCCCTGCACCAGCAGAGAAGAAGCCATAGATTTCATAAAAAGCTGGGTCGTCCCTCACCCGTGGCACAGGGCAATCTGCCTCGACGGCAAGCCAATTGGTACGATCACGATGAGCAGGGGTTCCCGCAGCAACGGCAGTGCTTGCCTTGCGGAGGTCGGGTACCTCCTGGCGTGGCAGCATTGGGGGAAAGGGATCGCGACGACGGCGGTGAAGATGGCCGGCCGTGAAGGCCGTATTTGAGGAGTGGGGGCCGGAGCTGGAGCGTGTGGAGGCGTTGGTGGATGTGGAGAATGTTGGGTCGCAGAGGGAAGGTTTGCTGCGGAAGTATCGTGTTATCAAGGGAAGGACTTGTGATATGGTGATGTTTAGTATCCTGTCTACAGATTTGGTGGTTCCTCGTTAGACTTAGACAGGGTTGTTTGCTGTTTATTTTCCTCTGCTCATTTGGATGAAGAAGGTTATTGACCTTGACGACATGTTCGCTTGCCATTTCGTTTTTTGTTTTTTGGTGTGGCAACAAAAAATCAAGAAACAAATGGCATAAAACGTGTTCACTTGCGATTTCATTTTCGTTGAAAAAAACAATGGAGCATCAATGAGGCAGCTCAGCGGAAACAATAAAATTTCGTTTCCTGAGGGCCCGTTTAGTATTGTTGCTTGTTTTTGTTGTCTGTTTTGTTTTATGAAATTTGGGAAACCAAGAAAAAAATCGTGTTTAGTTGAGTTTTTATTTTCTGTTGTGAATCAGAGTTGCACAACAGGGCCCAAATATGAGAAACAACAATTTATTGCTTTGGATCTGATTTTTAAACATGTTGCACACGGGATTCCTACTGGTTGGGCACTTGATTTCATTAAACCAGACCAGTTTTTGAATCCCCACAGAAGCAATTTTTTTTTTTTTAACACAAGCCGCCCCCCCAACCCTACTTCAACATATCAGCCGCCCCTCCCCAAACCCTTCTCCCCCAAACTCTCTCAACAGAGGCGAGCCACCTCCGCCTCACCTCCGCCTCCGCGCCGCCCCGACCCCTCCGCGCCCGACCTCCGCGCCGACCCCTCCCCCTCCGCGCCCGACCTCCGCGCCGACCCCTCCGCCTCCGCGCAGCCCGACCCTGCCGCCGCGCAGCCCGCCCAGACCGTCGCCGCGCAGCCCGAACCCGCCGCCAGTCCGCCGTGCCGCCGCTGACCACTTCCCCTCCACAAAAGCCTCACTTCATCCCCCCCGCAGCAGGTAACTTCGACTTCTTCAAAGTATTATGTTAATCTATACTTTCTGAATATGTTCATGAATTTGGCATGTATGTAGTGATTGCTAGATTAGTTATTTGTGAATTTGGATTGATTTCTATGTTCTTTGTTTTGTGGTTTACCTCAGTTATGGAGAAAATTGTTGAAAATGGTGATGTTGATTGTGTGGAGATTCAGAAAAATGATAATGGGGATGATAGCAAAATATGGGGTGATAAAGCTGAATCTGTGTTCATTGATCTTTTGGTGGAAGAAGTTAAAAAGGGAAATCGTGTTACTTCAACCTTTTCACCAACTGGATTCGCCAATCTCATTGTTGGTTTGAAAGAGCGGTTGAAAAGAGACTATACTAAGACTCAAGTGAAGAATAAGTTTAATGGGTTAAGCGGTAGACTCAGATCTTTCAAGACATTGCTTAGTCATACTGGAGTGGGATATGAAGCTTCAACTGGTTTTGTTAGTGCAGAAGAACATGTTTGGGAAAGTGCTATCAAGGTAATAAATCAATCTCTTTTCAATAATAATAATAATAATTAAAATAAATGTTAAAAACTCATTTTACTTAATTTGAGATTATTTTATTAATGAGTGTAGGGTTCAAAGTTGCATCTTAGATTCCGAAAGCATGGATGTCCTGAATATGACAAGTTGTGCTACATATTTGGTGACACTACTGCTTCTGGAAATAATGCTCGTTCTTCAACCAAAGCTGCTTCTAGTAGTAATGAGGAAGAGTTGGCTTCAACCAAAAGTGTTGAGGTAACTAATCTTGATGGCGAAGAGGAAGAAAATGGTGCAACTCCTGTTGTTGATAAGGAGGATAAGAACAAAAACAAAGGCAAGGGAAAAAAAAGAAAGCGAGATAAGATTAGCTATGCTGAGTCCATAGGAACATTGTTGTCATCCATGGTTGAGCGAGAGAAAATGAAAGTTGAGCGTGAGGCACAAAAGATGGCTTCTTCATCTGTGGGAGGAGGTGCAGTCTCCTCCAAGCCAAGTGATGATGGGCAACTTACGGAGTGTGTCAAGCTTTTGGATGAGATGAAAGTTAATGGTGCCTTGTTTGCATCAGCTGTGAAGTGTCTCCATGATTCTAAAGAATATCAAAATGTGTTCTTGAATGTGTCCGAAGAGAGGAGGCGTGATTTGTTGCAGCTTTGGATGTGATGGATGCTTTGGTTGTTTTGTTATGTTTAAAACTCTCTTGTTCTGTACTATTTTGGAGTGTTATCATTTGGTTTGAAGTTGGTTTGTAATGAATATTTGTATGAATATTGGATTTGATTATGATGTGTAATGAATGTGTTGTGATGTTTTTTCTATGGATGTTCATTACTTTACTTTTTATACACAGATAAATGGCTACTTTTTCAGATTCATCATTAGACTCTGATGACGATAAATTAGTAGTAATAATGCTAGCATTGATGGAGGAGGAGAGGAGGAAGTCGTCTTCTAAAACTCCTTGTAGAACATCAGATAAAAGAGGACATGATTGGGCGCAAGAGATTCTCCGTGGGCATCCAATTCGAATATATGAGCAGTTAAGGATGGATAAACGGACATTTGTTTCTCTATGTGAGGAACTAAAACGATATGGAGGGTTGGAATCAACAAAGAATGTAACAGTTGAAGAACAAGTTGCAATATTCATGAAAGTTGTTGGACACTCATGGACCACTAGAGATGGCGCAGAAAGGTTCCAACATTCCACAGCCACTATATCAAAGAACTTTGGCATAGTGTTGAAAGCAGTCAATAAAATTGCAGTAAGGCTCATTAAACCACCAGATATGGGTGTGGTTCCAAAGCAGATCATGGATAACTCAAGATTTTACCCGTATTTTAAGGTTAACTTCTTATCGTTTATTTCATATTGCACATGTTTCATATTATGATGATCTTGATATAGGTATATTGTCTTACAGGATGCTGTTGGTGCTATAGATGGAGTGCACATTGATGTTGTAGTTCCAACTGATGAGCAAATCCCCTATCGAGGACGAAAAGCAAAAACAACACAAAATGTTTTGTGTGTTTATTCTTTTGATATGCTATTTACTTATGTAATAGCAGGATGGGAAGGCACCGCGAATGATGCTAGAATACTAATGGAGACAATCGCAAATCTAGATAATGATTTTCCAATGCCACCAAAAGGTATGATATCTACATTTCATTCATTTATTAATACAATATGAGTGATAGTGAGATCTTATTAGTTTATTTTCAACATATTCATTTAGGTAAATATTATCTTGTGGACTCTGGATTTCAAAATATCCCTGGATTTCTAGCACCATTTCGAGGAGCTACCCGACATTTTCAAGAGATGAGGCGTAGAGGCGGACCAAGAGGGTGTAAAGAATTATTCAACTTCCGGCATTCAAGTCTGCGTAATGTGATTGAGCGTTGCTTCGGAGTTTTAAAGGCAAGGTTTCCGATTCTAAAGTTTATGCGATCGTATAGCTTGAGGAAGCAAACAAGTATTGTCATTGCTTGTTGCGCCTTACATAATTTCATCAAGATTCATGCAGAAGATGATAAACTATTTCATGAATATGAAAATTATGAAGATGAAGAAGGTTCGACTTCTGGGGTTGAACTACCACTCACTGAGTTCAACGTCAGCTATGCAGCAACACGTGAGATGACCGAGAAGCTTGATGCCATTGCTAACCAGTTATGGAGTGATAATCATGTTTAGTATTATTTTTTATGTAAGGAACATGAAAGATGTTAGGTAAATTGAATTTTGTCAGACTTTGCTTAATATTGAGGACATATCTCTTTTTTTTGGTTTTTAGTTCTTACAGTAGTAACTAAACGCGTTTTTGTTTCTTGTTGCCAGCTTTCATGATTTTTCAGATTTATCAACTAAACAGGTTTGTGTTTTCTGTTTTTTTCTGTTATGGTTGTACATCTGTTTACACAACACCACTGCAACCACAACAACAACAAAATGATACTAAACGGGCCCTGAAAATATTGGGCATGGTTTCTCCCCCGTTTCCCAGCGAGTGACACTCTATTTTTCTTTTAATGAGCCCTGGTGTTCGAATCCCCTCAGCGACCAAACGTTCTATTTTCCCCTTTTACCAGCTAGACCAAACGCCGCCGTTTTTGCTTCTGCAACCCTAGCCCCATCGATCGACTTCGTCTCCCCTCCCCATCGAGCAAAGCTGCCGCCTTCCCCAGGCCCAAACTTGACGTCATCGTCTCCAACCAACTAGCTCCTATCCACCCGGCGACCGAAGCTCCATCACACTAGCGTCTCCTCCAGCCGTGTTGGCATTCGTCTCCCTTACATACAGATACAGTGTCTCATTGTTCGATCAGCGGTTTGGATAGGAGTAATGTCGGCGGAGTGGCGGCGGTGGAGGGAGCGTCGATCCGTCGGCTGTTAGTTAATTGATTATCAATATTTGAACATCTTGCCGTCATGGGGCAGTTCGACGACAATTTGGATTGTATTCTGGTGGTGATGGTTGAGTCTATCAGATTCACTTGGTGTATAAGATCGAATTTGTAGCAGGAATTGAAGTGCTTTCCAACCTTCCCTGCCATTGGTTATTCTTTAGCCATTCGATTGATCATTGAAGCATCAAGATTCTCATCAATAGCAGAGATTAAGAAGCAAAGGAGTTTGAAGCGGGATTGGGATGGTTTGAAGTTTGGATCTTTATTATTTTGATCAAGCAACTTCGACCATATGTTGATGCTCTATGTGGAAGAAGTCGCTTGATGTCGTCTTCAAAGCAATGGAAAGCCTTTGGGATTCCGTTCCATTTGAGAGCTTAGACTTGTGCATGTCTATCTACTCTTCTCCTTTGTTTTTTGTCTTGGGTCGTATAAATTTCTTTGAAAACAATGTGAATTGTATTAAAAATTATAATTATGATTAGAGTCGTATGATACTCAATGAAAATTTTGTGGTAATCAAGTATAGAAAACAAAATGAAGCAACTAAACAGGTTTTCATTTTCAGA